CAAATGGCTGCAATATAACAAAGAGTGAAAAATTGAAGGGGGTCTGAATACTTTCCGTACCCACTGTATATGAATGTCGCAGCCACTGCTTTTCAGGGAAGCATTACTCTGTAAGGGACAGAAATAGTCCATAAAAAAATAATGAGGGTGAATGCTGCATATGTCCACATAGAAGAGTGCAGTGTTGGTTGTAAGTGAATGATGTGAAAAGTGATGATTCAAGGTCGCATGTTGAACAAGATCATTTAGGTGTGCTTTACATGTTGGGATCTAAAGCACGGGCAAGTTAATAAATGTAAATAAAAAATTTTATTTATTCCTGTGATGGCAAAGTCTTTAGTGTAGCTTTTGATCAATGCAACACAATATGTAACAGGTTCCTGCTCCAATTTTCTGACCCCCCTTGGCCTGAAAAAAGGTCGAAGACCCCTGAGCTATGGAAATTGGCTCAGTTGTACGTTGAGAGGTGAATGTGTGTGGGATTTGGTGCAGTACTGTTTTCCTTCCACATGCTTCCTCCCTTCTTTATGCCTTTGAAAAGAGATTTATTGTATAACAATTAAGCAGGACCTGAAGGCCTGCAGATAAGCCTTCTAAGAGCCATAGAAGCTATATTTTATTCATAGGAAATATTTGATCCATATGCTTAATGAGAAAACACAAACAAATCAGCCCTTTCAGTCCCCTGGTTCATAAATCACACAAAGCGCTCGAGAAACAGTGAGTGAAACTGAGCGCTTGCTTATGGCTCCCAAAGCAGCCAGTTCAAAAGGAGATGAATGACATCGCCTGGGACACAAAGGCAGCCGTATGTCTTGATGAAGGTTTAACCAAACAGAGATTGAGTGGAGGGATTTTTGTGTTTCATAAACAATGAGGAGGGCGTTAATAGGCTGATCTATTCTGGAAACGCATAAAATCTTTGAACATACCTGTTTTTGGGAACAGGCTGTAAGAAACAGCTATCAGATAACATTTCACTTCTGAGAGAAAACTGAAACAGGTGAGGCCTTGATGCGCAAGTCTTTCATATTAGCTTCAAAGTTTAAGGTAGATTCTTAAATTCTGATGGAAGAAAAAATAGGTTATTTATTGTAAGAATATGCTACAGGTTATAATTTATAAATTCTGACTAAGGATGATCGAGTTATATAGATATATATAAGCTAATTAATCAGCCATTTTGACAATTATCTCTCGTATCGGTGCCAAAATCTACCTTAAAACCTTGATAAAAAAAAAATTATTGTAAAACATTTTCGGTAAGCATGAATTTGGGGTAATACTGGCCAAAATCCTTTAAGAAAATCTAACAGTACTGGTTTGAGCAGTCCTCAGATGCAATTTCAAGAAGTATTTTATTATCGCCAGTGCAATACATATTTTTGGTACTTAGAAGTAGTATGTTATTTGGGATTCAGCCCTGATCTACCTCAGTAAGATGACAGAGTGGTGAGAATTCACTTTACCAGTAAGATGACAGTTCTGTTCTGGCTAAGACAGAAAAGTTTCTGAAAGAAACTCTAGGACATTAATCAAGCACCATTTCGGCTATTGCTTATGTCAGGAATAGATCAGATAGATGGCAGTTCAAAAGTCTGTGACATGCGTGTTTGAAATGCGACTGCTTTTTTAACCTTATTAGAGTAGCTGTACAGTATTTGTCTACATACAGTACAAAGACAACCCAAGGTGTTAATGTGCTCATTTAACTATGATTAGATATATATATATATATATATATATATATAAATAATAATAATAATAAAAATAAAAACCTATTACAGTACTCTGAAAGAAACTCTAGGACATTAATCAAGCACCATTTCGGCTATTGCTTATGTCAGGAATAGATCAGATAGATGGCAGTTCAAAAGTCTGTGACATGCGTGTTTGAAATGCGACTGCTTTTTTAACCTTATTAGAGTAGCTGTACAGTATTTGTCTACATACAGTACAAAGACAACCCAAGGTGTTAATGTGCTCATTTAACTATGATTAGATATATATATATATATATATATATATATAAATAATAATAATAATAAAAATCAAAACCTATTACAGTACAAAGTTCTGACAGCATCTTTGACCATAACCAATACATGTGGTCAGATGTTGGTTAAATTCCAGGACAAAAGTCTGCTTAAGCCTTTGTAAATGATAGTCATAAGAAAACTGGATTTAAAGACAAACTACGATTTACTGACATTTCATTAGGTGATGTCTACATGGATTAATGTTAACAGAGATTCTTTAAATCCAAGGGCACTGGCTTCAATAACCAGGCTAAAGAATTTCTGTAAAGAGTGAAAAGCAACAGATACTTTTTATCTCATCATGACAACAGTCTAAATATCATGTCTGACATAACACTATCCCACAAGTACAATATTCCATACCACATCTAAAGTAATGGTGGGTGTATGTCGTCTCTAGACAAAAACTGAACTGGGAAGAGAGCAGCTACTGCCTGAGTCTTATCCCCCAGTGAGTGCCTCATAGTGGGGGGCACTACTCCATCAAAGAAGAGCAATCCCTCGCTGAAAGAAGGCCTTACGCACTCCAGATGTGCTGGAACTATAGGGATACAACTCAAGCCAACAAAAACTAGCCAGACTCTAAGCCTTCATTAGATGACTGTGGATGTGGGGATTTTTGTGGGACAACATCCTGTCAAAGAATAGACTGCATGTTTATTGCTGAAAGTAGCAAAAAATTAACATGGGGAAATCAGCACTGGATAACTGAAATGAAATACCAGTCAATGGGGAATATTCATCAAGAACATGAGATATGATATTGCTAATTTTTATTTTATTTTTTTAAGATTTATTTTTGGTGTTTTTGTCTTTATTATGATTGGAAAGTAATTAGACAGGAAGCGAAGTGGGAGAGCGTGAGGGTGACGGGATCGGGAAAGATGGGACTCGAACTCGGGATGCCCGAAGTACAACAGCACTATATGTCGGCATGCTGTCCACAAGGCTATCGGCATCGATGATGTTGTTCATCGTTAACATTAATAAACAGACCAGCCTGCATTACCATTATACTGTAAATCCTGGAAAATATTACATTTAAAATAACTTTATATTTCAATATATTTTATTAATTTCTGTGATGGCAAAGCTGAATTTACAGCAGCCATTACTTCAGTTATCAATTTCATATGATCCATCAGAAATCATTATAATATGCTGATTTGGTGCTCAAGAAACATTTCTAATCAATACTGAAAGCAGAAAGCACAATCTTTGTGGAAACCATGATTTTTTTTATTGTTTTCCCCCCAGGATTTACGCCTGAACAGTTGCATATGTCACACTATCTACAAAGGAAAATTAGTAAAAAAAAATAAATACATTTATAAAAATAAAAAAAGACATTTTGAAGAGAAATTATTGGAAATGACATGTAAAGGCGAACTGTGCACAATAAGATAAGGAGCATGCATTAACAGTCATGATGACCACTTAAATTAATAGTCATGAATCATCTGAAAATAAAAATCTGAATAACTGTTAATGACGTGTCAGATATTTTGATTTAACATTCTGTAATTGTGTATGTGATGTGAAGTGTGAAAATGTGTCATTTTGTTGTATGTGAAGAGCTATTTACTTGAGAAGCTGCTGCCATGTCTTCAACAGAAAATATCTGAGATGGAGCTGAAACAAAAGACAAAGAGAAAAGGCTGTTAATATTTAATATGTAATTTAGTTTTTAAGATTTATTTTTGGTGTTTTTATGCCTTTATTTTCGATAGGATAGTAAGTTGACAAGAAGCGAAGTGGGAGAGAGAGAGAGGGGGGGGGGGATCGGGAAAGGTCTGCGAGCTGGGACTCGAACTCACGACACCCAAAGCGCAACGGCGCTGTATGTCGACACGCTACCCACAAGGTTATCGGTGCCGACACCTCTTGGCTACTTTGACGTATTTCCTGTATTTCCAAAACATGATGCATGATGGGATAAAATAAGCCCCGAATAGCGCTCCTGAATAGTATTCGAGATAGTGTGGATTTAGTGTGCGTTCAGGGCACTGTGCTTTGGTGTTTTTAAGACCTGGGACAGTCTTGCGCACTTACTTCCTGTCATGTGCATGCGCTGTCAAGTGGCCAAGACCGCAAGTGTGGGTATTTGGACAAGGCATCTGCAGGAAAGTGGATCTTGTGGAGCAGATTTGAGGATCCCTGCTCTAAACTATACTTTTTAATAGTTTTTAGAGACAGGGTAATTAGGCTGCCCACAAGGCTATCAGCATCAACTAATATGTAATATTTAAAATATTTGTAAAGATTCAGCATGGGCCAGTCTATTACAGTTCTCTTACAAAACACTTTGGATCGGAGGAATGCCATCACAAACAACAAAATATTACTTACACTCTGTCAAATACATTAATATAAAATCACCTGCTTGGTGAGAAACATTTTAATGTTAATGTCATAGTTATGTCATTTTTATGTTAAAAAGCTTTCCAAAGCATAATGTTTTTTTTTTTTTAAATGTTATTCTGCTGTTTTGGCAGTCTGTATACACTCAAAAAATTCTCAAGGTCAGTCCTAGGTTCGTTTCCAACAAGCACAAGCATGATGTTACATGACCTCTGCACCACATAATAGTATGACATTTTACTGCACTTCACACATGCACATAGAGCAGCAATACTGTGATTCTGCAGACCTAGGCACAATTATGAGAGACTAGGGACGATAACTCGAGTCACGACACTAGGCCCCTTCACTGCCACACTGGTGCTTTGGGCCCAACTTTTCTTAAGAAATGATTACAGAACTGGTCTCTACTGATGAAAAGCACAGGGGACACAATAAGCCAGCCATCTGCCATGTAGGAAGTGCGGAAATTGTGTAGCTGGAGGCAGTGATGGAAAGGGGAGAGTGGTGAAACGGAGGGAATTGGTTGCACAGGAAGAAGTTGGAAATGAAGAGGAAACAAAAAAAACATAAAAACAGTAATCAAGCCCCCAGTCATCCCTGACTTTAATTTTGAGGATACAAAACAATACACAAAAACATAGTAGGGACTAAAAGTATTAAGAATTGGTAAGTACTAATAAGTATGAACCTGTGAGGTCGCATTAAATTTTGTGTTCCATTCACTTCAATTCTTACACATATAGGAAGAGCAGGTATGCAAGAACATTTGTCTTGCTGCATACTAAAGTATCTTACTATCAAAAGGTGCATTCATAAAGGATTGAAATTAGTTGCAGACAACTTGTGGCAATATATATATATACAGTGGGTACGGAAAGTATTCAGACCCCCTTAAATTTTTCACTCGTCCCGAGCGAGATCTAATTCACAGACCAAAAGTGTGTGTAAACTTTATTGAGATCAGGACATATCAACCAGTAATTTAATTTCATTTCCAGTAACGGACGGTGCTGGAGAAGACAGGACAGGACACAGAGATCATGTTACTGCTGAAACTTCAGGGGAGAAGAACTTCAAAACGTCTTCCTACCTCAAGCATTTTGATTGGTTCTACACCTGTGAATCACCTCAATGTCACGGTTCAACAAAAGCACTCAAATGCATAACTTCAGGGTGAATAAACGCCACAAAGCAGATCAAATCAACCTATGAAGCTGAGATTTCAGACTTTCTTTGACAATAATCAGAAATGAATCCACCAAAAACTTTTAAACAAAAAAGAAATATACACTCTTATCCCATCTAAAAATATTTATGATTAAGACTTCAACTGTAAGATTTAACAAACTAGGAGAGAAGTTTTAGTACAAAACAGAGGACATACCCCAGAATAGAGCTTTAGGCGTAAACAAATAATTTAAATTAATCTCATTTTTACAGCATGAACTCAAAATGTCAGTATGCAAAGTGCTAATGACAAATACAGTATCTTAAAAAACTATGCAGTTCATGGTCTGCAATATTTTAATAAGCATATACAAACTAATCCCTAGAATACAAGAATCATCCATGTGAATAAGCTCCTAGTATCAGTTAATTACCCAGAGTACCAAAGCAGAACACCATCCATCTCAAGACTCCAGTATGAGCTGCAGTTATGAGCCTGTAATAGATCTTATCACCTCTGATTTGTGTCCTTACACTAGTGGAGCTGCAAGCGTTGGGGACTTGATGCATTGCTAAAAATTGACTTTAACCTTTAACTCTACTGACAGCAAATCACAACATTGAGATGTTGTGTGTGCCAAAACTACAATATATATATATATATATTTTTTTTAAATCAACTAGTCAGACCTCGATGAGGCACTGGCTGATGTGACATAACATATATACATAAATGTATAGATTTGTCTGGCAAGCCAACGAATACGGTGCACATGAAAATTTCTCATTATCATTCACCTTGTTAAAACGGTCCACCCACTTTCTAAAGACACAATGAGGAACATCTGTTACTAGAGGCCTTCTACAAATTAATAAAACAAATACATCAAATTATAGTGCCCCTGAGCCAAGCAGGACTGTGCACACATAACATCGTATTACATTAATCTACATATCTAAATGCTGTGTCCTTACAAAGGACGCCATGTAGAGCTAAGCAATCAGGGCCACTTGTGAGAGTAAACAAGCGAGATTCATTTTTCAGTTTAACAATGGCAAAGATTATTCAAGTTCATTCGTAAACGCTTTACAAAGGTTACATTTTTGTAATTCCCTCAACGACTTTCTTCAGTCTCTCGATGAGCATGACCTGGCATGAATATTCTTATGAAATCTGGTTAAAAGTTATTAGCACATCGACTACATTTTCCGTCAACAAAACCACACTATTAATGAAAAGACCCCATTTGATGAACTTCATCACACATTCTACACATCATTTTCGCCTGAAACTAAATTCCACAGTCTTGCATTATGATTAATAACACGACTCTTGGTGACAGCTCTCAGGAGACTTTGATACTGGCATCACAACAAAATACAAAACTGCAACAAAATATAAAACCAATAAAAATGTACATGTAAAATGAATATTGTGGCCAGGGCATTGTTTTGCAACATGCAGCAGCTGCTCACACACAAAGTGTAAAAGGCATTTTGAGGGCCACAGAAAATAACTTTCTTACAGTACTAGTGCATTAGAGCATGTAACTAGATCGGATCGTTAAAGGGACATTTTTCCACAAGCAGTGAGAGAATCAGAAACTCATGTAATTTGTGGACAAAAGTTTTATTAACTAAACACTAATACATAACTAGTCTACACAAACAAACAATCACACAAGCAGGAAGGGCAAATGAGAATGACTGAAACCTTTAGAGAAACAGGGAACGAAGCTATGAAAAGGAGTCAGTTAACTACCTGAGTGAAACCATCAGCGCCGTTTTACAACAGGGTCTACAGCTTATACTAAACCTCTGTTTTGTTTAGTTAAATGTATGATACTTGCATTGCCTTGGCCGGGTCACTGATGTGAGGCATTTTAACTTCTATGGAGGTCACACCTCCAGGGGGTCAGTGAACCAATGCGGACGTAAAAATTCGGAGGGAAAGTTTACAACTCTTTGTCCTCGAACTGGATTGGGTGCTGATGCAAAAACTATTCAAGATTCTTAGAACACTAATATGTTGCATGGGTATCAACATATAATATACACTCATTTAGATCATCAAAATTCAAATTCAGCGGGATTGCGGGCATTGCGCATAATTCTACTGATTCCCGCAGTTTCTGCACTTGTAACGCAGGAAATTCTCGCAAATATTTCAGCGTGAAAGACGCTAGGGACAGATGACAGAATGTATCATTTGCACATGCTTTTGAGTCTTACAATTTTAAACATTCAAGTGCTCTATTCAGTAATTGCGTGCTCTCTGTGAGACCCCTTTCTGTGAGCTCACACCCAAAGCGCGCACATAGAGCCACAAGAGAGAGCACGCGACTACAGAATGAAGTTGTGTTGAGCCTTATTGCACGTAAATGGCCAAATACACACAAAATTATGTCAAAATGCCCGTCTTGATGTGTATTCACATAAACAGTCGATTTATACTAAACATTGTCGGTATATAGACTATTAAGTGAAAGTAAACAGCTGAGAAACAAAACTTATGAGTAACAGTTAGATCCGTGCATGAGGTCTTAAAGAGACAGCAGCTTAAATAAACCTGCTGCTGTCCGTCATTAATGTTTATTTATACATTGAAGACTAACTAGTGTTATTTTAAAGTGAAATAGATTATTCCGTTTCTGTGGTATTTCTGTACCTGAATATTACTGTTATACCTACCTGAAAAACTTAATTTTAGTTGTATCTTGTTGTTGTTTTTGTTTGTGCCATTGCTTGTCATTTATCTATTCTTATTTTAAACTGACTGTTTACTTGTCTTTTTTAATTAAAATAATTTCAATTCAGAGTTTGAAATCAAGGTTCTTTGTAAGTATCTTCCTCACAATATAAATATGAATCAACAACATTATAAATTGTAAAACACAAATACACTGGATGACAAAACATTTAGGTTGGATGATTGCAGTTTAAAGACGGCATGAAATCAAAATGGAAAATTCTTATTTTTTAATGGAATACTGTAGTGTTTATTATAAATAATTTATCCGTGCACGAATGAAGTTGTGTTGAGCCTTATTGCACGTAAATGGCCAAATACACACAAAATTATGTCAAAATGCCCGTCTTGATGTGTATTCACATAAACAGTCGATTTATACTAAACATTGTCGGTATATAGACTATTAAGTGAAAGTAAACAGCTGAGAAACAAAACTTATGAGTAACAGTTAGATCCGTGCATGAGGTCTTAAAGAGACAGCAGCTTAAATAAACCTGCTGCTGTCCGTCATTAATGTTTATTTATACATTGAAGACTAACTAGTGTTATTTTAAAGTGAAATAGATTATTCCGTTTCTGTGGTATTTCTGTACCTGAATATTACTGTTATACCTACTTAACTTAAAGCACAGTTAATTTTAGTTGTATCTTGTTATTGTATTTATTTGTGCCATTGCTTTTCATTTACCTATTCTTATTTTAGTTAAAATAAATTCACTTCAGAGTTTGAAATCAAAGTTCTAATTCAGAGTCTTCCTCACAATATAAATATGAATAAACATAAATTGTAAAACACAAATACACTGGGTGACGAAACATCCCCCCCCAAGAGCCACCTAAAGGGGGAATTCCCCCCATTTTCCAAAATGAAATTCAGGCCCTGTCATAGATACCAAATATGGTATAGGTGAGGTTACATTAACTAGTGGTTCTATCATAAGGATGCATTAAACAGAGTACAATACAAAAGAAAATATACAAGAAAATAATGATCATACACACAATGTATTGGCATGTTCATTCATAAAAGGTTTTCTATGAATGAATAGGGAAGAGTCTATTTTTATGGGCATTATGTGTGTTTCCTATGGGGAAATGGAGTGAGACAAAAAAACGGAAAGAAAAAACTGTTATGGTCTCTAATGGTTGATATTTCCTCCTGCACGTTTACATTTACCAGTAGTATCACTATTTTAAGTGGATTCAGAAACAGTACATTTCAGAATCAGAAATACTTAATCTGCAGCAAAAAGGGTGTTAATGGTGGCCTTGATACCATCTAAAAACCATTTTAATGGTAATGCTAGACTGATTTGCCTCAAAAAAAAGCCTTTTTTAAAATTCTGAAATATGCCACAGCTAGGCTCCAAAATGCATCACCATGACCAATTTATAACTGGACAACAGCCACTGATTACATTAAAGCTTTCATAGGGCAAGTAGTACTTATTTTCAGTACTTTATGATTTCATCCCCTGTATATTCAATGCATTTGATACATACAGTATTTGTATTTGATGGCATAGTACTTTATTATGCTAATTTTATTGTAAGTTCAAATGATCTTTGTTTCTGTCTTTGTTGTAAAAAATCTATATATGAAGCTGTTTTCAAAAATCAAAGCTAATGCAATGAATCCCAACAATAGAAACAAAATGATTCTGAATAGATCCTAATGTGAAAAGCAACAAGGAGCTCTCAATCACCTAAATATCAAAGCATTTGACAGCCTGCGAGATAATGAAAAATTCTCCAAATCTGTTTCCTCAGTGACTGACAGGTTCCTTTCTGCCAAAGTTAACATCCCACACCTTGACCTAAACAGCTCACAGGATGATTGCAGAGCAAAAGACCTGTCAATATTGCTTTAAAAACAGCAGGAAATTGGCTCATCTGCTCTGAGAGAGGAAGTGAGCCAATGAAAAACTGTACAAGATAGTCAGGAACAGAGCATGGAGAGGGCACTGGAAATGATTTACAATGTTTCCACACCTGAACGTGCTCTCAATCGCAGGTTTCCAATAACAGTGATATTTAATCGTAGAGATGGACGTATGCAGTATTTGAAGTGGACTAGAGAAAGAAAGACAGGGAGGAACACTACCCTCAGGTTAGGGTTTGAAAGCATTTTTGGTCAAATTGTATTCATTTCATAGCATACTCCAAGACAAATCAAAGCAAGTCCAAGGATCTATTCAATGTTCTGTGGCTAAATGAAATGCTTACTTGTTATCAAGACCACATTTAGATGTATGCCTTATGGATTCTAAGTATAACAAAAAGAAAAATGAAAAGACAGCACCCCGCAAGCATCTTGACTAAGAAACAAGATTTAAAAAATAGAAAGAAATTCTTAAATTAAACTTCTCTGACTGAACTTTCCCTGAATAATAAATACTATGTTATGATGAATGACTGTCTATGCTGACAGATCTTCCCCACGAAATCTCTCCACGTGAAAGTTAATTAGCAAACACATGATTTCAAAGTGCATGCATTTACACAATACTTTGCTTGCAAAAACTATGTGGTTTCAAAGACAGGCCAAAGAGGAGTTTTTGTTTTGCTGGTCCTAGATGCAGATTTAGACATCAGGGACTGGATCTTGTTAAATAGTTTTGCTTATAAATATTTTAATAAAAGCAATAATGCACTCTATGCCATGCTGTATTCAGCTAAAAGACATTGGTAGACAAAAAGCTCAGCAATCTGGTCTTATTTCCCTTATGCTTAAAGGTATAGTTCACCCAAAATGAAAATTCTGTCATCATTTACTCACCCTCATGTCATTTAAAACATGAAACAATACATATAACAAATGTATTGTGAGAAATGTCTATTTTGTGCCCATACAAATGTCAATGGTCACTAAAACAGTTTAGCTATCCTTCAAAATATCTTCTTTTGTGGTCTGCAGGAGAAAGAATGTCATACAGGTTTGTAATAATATAAGGGAGAGTAATTGATAGAATTTGGGGGAACTATCTCTTTAAGTATTGACCACCTAAAATTATTCCAAATACAAGGGTGGAAATAGTTTGCTTTCAAAAAGAAGTACCTGCTGACTGACACTTCACTGATTGTAGGGCTTGATGATCTTGATGGAAGCTCAATTACCCCCTCCATCTCTTCACTCTTTACTTTCAGCATTGTAGAAACGAGAGGCTGGGGAGTGTTCTGAATGCTGCGTGGTGCACCTGTTACGTTGAAAGACAGAAGAAGAAAAAATGAAGAATTCAGATGCAAAAGCCTCTAAGTGCCATCTGAAATTTTCATCTAAAATGAGTATTTTTATCAGGCTCCTGTTTATGTTCAGTTATTTCACTTTAATGGCATAGAAAAAAACCTATACATTGCCAATAAAGTAAAATTACTGAACCTAATCATAAGAGCCTGGTAAAAATGCTCATTTCAGAAGAAATTTCAGACGGCACTAGAGGCGTTTGCATCTGAACTCTTCAAATACAGTTATGAATACACCACTGGAATACAATCTTGTGGACAACCTTGTGAAATATAACCCCATGATATTGATTATTGGGACAATTTATTTTTGTTAATATTTTCTTGTATATTTTAGACGTAGTCAGAATCTAAAATTAAAATAAGTCTTGGTGTTTTTAAGAAATACAACATAACACGTGTGTCACAGCAAGAGTCACACTAACACTAGTTTTTTTTTTTCTTTTTACATGTGCGGCAAAAACTTAATTTGAATTTATTGATAAACACTATATATATATATATATATATAAAACGTTAACATTTACAGAGTGATAAAAAAGGTATTGTTTTTGTATTGATCACCACACCACCAAAATCTCTATTTACACATAACCACTATTAGAGAACTGACAATTCCAAAATATGATAAAGAGATAACCAATCTCGAATATTTTTACACTGCAAACTACTTACTGACTCTGAAGTCCACATATAGAGCCATTAATGCTTTGTTGATAACAGCATGAGACCGGTGAATTATCATTAGAGCGAGTGATGGGGTCTGCAGGCACTTGTTTACTGCAATTGTTGAGGTGCCGCACAAAAGTACTCAAGTTTCAAACAGTGTGTGTGTGTGTGTGTGTGTGTGTGTGTGAATGAAATGTACAGCACATTTCATTCACACACACAAACACTGTTTGAAAGTTTAGTATATAGTAACTCTGTCACTACAGTGGTGGTAGATTTATAAGATTTACATTTTTATTTTTTTTTGCATACATTTCCTAAAAACTAAAAGTCCTAAAACTTGATAAAGAGAGTCTAATCAAAACAAATAACACACAACATGTTATATTTTCACTTGTTTACCAATTAAAATGCTCTAATAGTGAACCTCTTTGTTGAAAAAGTATGTGAACCTTTTTTTTTTTTTTTTTTTTTTTCAGTGAACAGCACTTACATAATCATCCTCCTGTGAGATGCTCCGAGGCGTGAACTGGTCTGCAGCGGTAGGCTCGTCCTTTATGGGCCCAGATGTGGAAGACACGATTGGATCCGGCTGCGATGTTGAGGGGCCAGAGGAAGGTGATTGCAGAAGTGCTGCCTGATATTGAATGGGCTGATGTGGTTTGAGGCTGAGCTCCAAGAACTGTGGTGATTTGAGGTCATCAAAGTCTGAATCCTCATATTCCAGGTCACCCTCCAGATGCTCATCACTCCCATCAGTAGCATCGGGATCCATAAGGTAGTCAACCTCCAACACTCTGTTGGCTTGAGAATAAAGATACTCCACCCCTATGAGCTCACCTGTGCAAACAGTATGTCAGACGT